TCGTTGCAAAAAAAAAATCCCAGCTAAGTAGCTGCTACTCAAGTTGTTACAGAATTTCGAGGTTGCATGTTAAACCAATTGTTTATAAGCCAAACTAATAGATTAACTTTCTTTTAACATGCTCTATCAATTAGAAATCTAGAAGACAAAAGATATGTGATATGTACTCGCAGGTCATGGACGACAGAATTTTATTATTATTTCGACTTCTACTATCGCCTACACTGCACACTGATTGTGTTATGTTTTGCAATTTTGCAGGGAAATCTACTTTTACAGTTTGGTTCTGGGCTTTGCAACTACCTGCTCACCTGCCGATGATATGAAACACGAAGCAGACATGGCAAAAAGTGCAGTGGATCCAAGAAAAAGAAAGTTCTTCAAGGACATTTCCTCATATTCTCTTCCTTCGTACTGCTTCATTGGAAAAATATTCATAGCAAATGTGATAAGGGCAGCAAAAAGACTTATGCCCACTGACTGCGCCTGAAAAAGTAGTTTAGCAGCAAAAGCCATAATTTTAATTGGATAAAATAGTTGGAAAAGTCCACAATTTCGAGAGTTTTCGATGGTTATTTGGGAAAGCAAGTTTTGAGCTTCATGTTTCCGGAATATATAAGAAGCTTTTTGCAAAATGTTGAAGGTGCCTTTCAAAGCACCTGTACCAGGGCGACGTTAACGAAAATGTGGTGTAAAAGCCCAGATTTCCTCCGCAAACGACCTTGATGAGCCTAAAAGAGCTTTGTTGTTGACTACCACACCTGAATAGAGTACCTCTGTGGTGAAACGTGATGTGAAAGTCATATCAAGATTTCCTTTCAGACCCATCAGAGGTGTGCATATCGCCATAAACTGTGGTACCTTAAAAGCAAAGAAATGACGTAAGGAAAGGTGTGAAATGCTAATAGCATACCTCGCATACGAATCGCATTCTTTGAATTTGTTTGAGAAGCAGTCCAGCTAGTATGAATCCTATTCCACCGACAAGAAAGGGTATAAATGACTGAATAAATAAAGCCAAAGCTTATAAACCCGTTGTGTTTATTCTCCGCTTGTATACTTGAGAGCAACTGCACAATTTTCATTTTGTCACTTTGTCAAGAAAATAATGTCGTTTCATTTGCTTGCTTTAGAAATGCAACCCAAACTTAACCCAAAAAGGCAGTAGAGGCACTGTTTGATGTAGCAAAGCAAGCTTCACAAGTTGGCTTTCAT